AAAATGTCGTCGATTCAAGATATGAAAAAATATCAAAGAATAAGCGGCAGCTTTCAACTATTCTCCACTTCCGTTGGATTTCAACGGTCAAATTGTATCTAATGTAATGGAAACTAAATGCAAGTGGAGACGGTGTGTAAAAAATAGTGTAGAAAAACTTTTAAAATGGGGATGGTTCTTTAAAGACAGTAAAGAGACAAACATGATTATGAACATCAATTTTTCCGTTCAAATTTAGTTTATTTTATTCAAATAGATATGAGTTATTTTTGTATAACTTTTAATCTTTGGTTATGCTAACAGAAAAGATCAAAAAAGATACAAGTTTGACCTCACAAAGTCAATATAGACGGTCCAATCCAAGAAAAACGAAGAAAGACGACACTTGTTTATTTTGAAATAGGTTAAAGTACGTGTATATTGCCTTTGTGAGAGAAAACTTTCTCCTTTGGTTATTGTATCTGTTTAAAGTTTCGTTTCTGTAGATAAAATGGTGTTTGTTCCTACACTTTGATCAGTAGAATGTCTGCCGAAATAAGTTTTCCAACTGAAATGATAAAGAAAGAGAGAGTAAGGACTTAATCTGAACTCATTTCTGCAGGTGACGCTCACAAACCTCTTCTTAATTAAACAAAGAACTCGAGGTTTCAACACGAATAGCACAAAAATGAGAATTCCTTGTGCACAATTGATAATATCCATCGCGGAGAAAACGAGATTATTATTGGCGAGAAAAAAGATTGCTTCTGCGATCCAGGTAACCCCAGTTACGATAAACAATCGCACGTACAACATATAACTGAAAGAGAAAGAGCGAAAGAGAGTTTTGATAACTATCATTTAGTGCGACGAATAAAATATGTAGCAATTTCACCTATCCTTTTCTTGTTTTAGCCCTTTTCGAAGCTCGTTACGTTTGACTTGCAATGTCATTTTTTTCACATCCCATTGAACTTGGAAAATTTTCAATGCGGTCAGAATTGTAAGCATAATATTCACTGTGACAATGATGCAAAGTGGACCGTAGTAGAAAATGATTCGTGATGTAACATTTTCTGCAACGAAATTTTATGTTTTTTAAAATAAGAAACACTGTCACTGGCAATACAGTAACTAGGTTTTTGTTGGCTAATCTAAAGAAAATTGATGTATTGAAGGACACTTGATTGAAGGATTAAGTTCACAAAAAAACTGTTGATGACTAACCTTTGAGAAAAAGCGAATCGGTTCCAATGCCTGGCTGTAGGTAATTCGGTAGCCCTTTGATTGCATCCATTACATGGGCGACAATATTCACAAGTAACGATACACCAAAAGCATACAGGCTGTACAATATGAACTGCTTTATTTCTGAATTTGATTTGATCCTAATGGTGGATCTAGTGAAGAATGAAATGTTCAAAATGGGGTAGTTTTAAAGGTTCTTTTAGAAAATATTCGAAATATTTTACCGGAAGCTCGACCACAAATCGAAACTGATCACATTCAACCACAAAAAAGCCGAGAAGGTTGCGAAATACAAGAGAGTGGCTTGTACTTTACAAATCGTCTTATCAACATAGTCCGTGCCATTGAGTTGCTCCAAAGCTAATAGAATGTACATGACCATCAAACAAACCAAGTAGCAAACGAAGCATTTGCCATGCAAATTACGCAGCTCGGATATACAAATGTAGACCAGAAATGTGACGATAATGCATGGAATCGATGCGAATAGCACTGAGAAAATATTCTTATCAGTATGATATCCAATTGTTCACGCTCACTTTTATGTCAACACTCACCGTAAGGCAAATAGGAAAAACTAGCGGGCACAGGTGGAGGATCTTTTATCTCATCGTCTGGTAAACATATTTTTGCTTCTAAATAGATTCCCTTCGTTTCGTTAGATGAGACTTTGATGCAGTATTCGCGATGGTTTAATGTTGTATTATCTGCCAAAATGTCCCCTGTCTTGAATTGAGTGCATAAATTATTTCTTCATTGAGTTATAATTTGGTGTTGATCTCCAAAGCCAAATATATTCACTTCTTACATGTGTAATAACAAAGCCTTCTGGTTCCGGAGTATAATGCCAATTGCAAATACGATCGACGTATCCGAAATGCTGATCTAAATTTTGAATTTTTGTTTGACCATTTTCATCGCTCACTTCGGCCTGGAAATTCCGTGCTTTTTCGTTTTGTTGACATTTCACCTCTTTCATTATCATGCTTATTGTAAATGATCCGTGTGGACAGCAGAGTCGAATACATTTTCTGATGTTACAAATACATCCACGCAATTCGACACCTTTACTTCCATCTGTATTATTGACGGTGTGGTTAAAATATTGATTCGGCGGGTATTCGATACCGTTGAATATAATGCTTTTATTCGATTGTAATTCTCCATCATTGATTTTAATTGAATCGGCGAAATCACACGGTAATCCATGAACTATTTTAGATATGCTCAAGAATATTAATCCAATGAAAGCAAAAGTCGACCTCATCTTCACCGACGATCGAATGTTACGCATTTGTGTGGATCATTTCTACTAGAAAATATGTAAGCTTGAATCTAGAACTGAAGCGAAATAGATGTTGTTGTTAAAAGCGAACTGAGCCCTAGAGGGAAAGAAATTATTCAGCACAATTGATCAAATAAATACGCAATATTTCGATGGCAGATATTTGTTCGGTTCTTTCCCACTCGACTGAACCATGTGAGTCATTTTTTGTTGCATGGAATGTACTTCAAAGTTACACTCTCTTCACAATTCCAATATAGTTGTGATTTTTTAAGGGTTAGTGTTTCTTTTTAAATCCTAAGATTAAAAAATCTTAATCAAATTGGATATGAAAAACGAAGAAAAATCAGAAATATAACCTAGGTATTAGGGTGGATCGATGTTTAAATCTATGATTTACGGATAATAATGATGATATGACCATACCCGGGACATGCCATTCTAGGCCAGGAATAAGTTTGTATGTCAGAAGTAACAATCTGAATGTACAACAAACAAATCCTTGAATAAAGAATAACAATCTCCCGACTATGGCGATTATGTCTTTGAAAATTAATCCATCCTACTATGTAATATGTATGTGTGTATAGTAGCACTATACAATGTGTAGTATGGATTTAGTAAATTATCGCTCATATAAAGAAATTCTTTAAAAGAATTTAGTGCATTTCAGAAAAATAGGCGCTGATTGTGTTATCAAATCGCATTTTATTCGCAATTTTGAATAACTCACTCGGAAATTTTTGAATTGTATACCAAAGAAAAAAAAACCTCTGAATCAGACTACACATTCCATTCAGCAACCGTCGATAAAAGCATATTTTAATCTACTTAAAACACATACTCATAACGATTGTATGCATAACAACAGTAAAAAACGAACAACATATTCATAGTAACCTTCAAAATTCCTTGAAAAACACTCCTACACACAGTTATTGACTAATTGAAAACGGCGATAAAATTCCGATTTTTCCCGTTGATTTTGCAACAATAGCTGAGAGGACTGATACAAATATCTTTTGATTGTATCATTTTCTTAATAAACCGGTTTTATAATTACATCGTTCAAATGGATTATTACTGATTTAAAATTTGAATTTAAACTAACTTGGTGTATAACTAAAAAAATACTTGTTGAGTTGTTTATTTCTCATTTAGAGAACGATGTTAATGCCCCTTACAACAAAGAGTTGTCACAATGAAGTCAGAAAAATCGTTTCCATTAACCGTTTGTCTGTAATAAGTCGAAAGTTACAAATGCTGTAATGTGGGATCATATGGACCCCAACAAAAAATCGATAAAAATGGAACAAAAATAATTTATTTCTCAAAAATATCGTTTTGATCCAACAATTTAAGGCATTCTTCATCTTTTAAGCCTATTTTCTATTTGTGAAAAAAGTTTATGTTCTTTGAAAGGGCGTATCAAAAGGAATAAAATAAGTATAATATCCAGTTGATGTGAGCTATACATGGAAAAATATGGACCAATAAGATGTAATAATTCGATAAAAACTGGAATTTCATCAATTTAGGTACCATTTGGAAGTGATCAAAACAATGAAACTACTTATCGTATCTGAATAAAATATGGCTCAAAATGAAGATAAAACTTCAAATTTTAAAAATATTCTTGATTTAATGAGATAAAATAAGATTTTAGCAATAATATAGGCACTTTGATTTGGGGTCCATATGACCCCATCTTACAGCATTTGTAAGTCTTCTCTTCAAGTCAAAATATCTCGGGTTTTTATGGACCGATTTTGACAAATAAGTGCTCAAAATGCGTGTTTCAACTAGATTGAAGATGTCAATAAATTATAACATCATACAACTTGAAATTAAAAAGTTATAGCTAATTTAGAGTATCTAGGGTCATATAGACAAACGGTTAACGCCACCAATTTTAAAATCATACTTTGAACACTCTCTCAACAAAGATGATCTTTATATCATCTCCTCCTTTGAAATTCCAATCAAATGAAATTACTTGATTTATTTGTCATGTAGACTTGAATATGTCTTGAGGCGTTGACCTTGAGCAACTGTTCAGGGAACAGAGAGAACACATATTCAGTATTCAATATTATATACACTTCAAAGGTCACAACGCATGAACGCAGTAAAATTTAAAGTAACATTTTTATAAATGCAATTTGTTGAATCAGCATTATGCTTGGGCGTTGACCACGAATTATTGTATGAACAAACAAATGAATAAACGAATGAATTTAGTTATATTACAGCAATCGACTGAACTGGTTATAACTCATTTAATGTATTCTTTCTACCGATACAGCAACTTTACACTCTTTGTGGAATTCTAAGAAAATCCGTATTTTGACTCAAAACTTACACTTTTTATGAAAAATCATAAAAAACACGGTTTGTTCAAGGGTGAGATCCGCCATGGATCCTTTATAGTTCACAAGTAATTGAACGAACGCATTTACGTTGTCTTCGAGTATTACAATTGTCGTTATTACAACAACAAAAAATACTAATCGCATGAGTAGACAGTATTTCAAGTTTCAACATGAATTGGCTTGTGCAACACGTGTGAAATCAGTAACCAGAAAAAGTCGCCCGAGCTTGCATCTTGCATCGAACGAGTTTATTGTGGTCAATCATACAAAGGAATAATGCAACGTTTAGACTTGTGCTATGTATCCTACCCCATTATTGTCAAGAAATTTTAATTGGAAAGTGGTTTGCTTTAAATAGGGGCTATGTTTGGAACTCGCTGTCAGTCGATCATAAATCATTCACTAGAATTGCACGTTGAAAATAAGAACATTCATTTTGTTGTACAAACACTGGTGTCCAATTTGTAACATTGCTATTTAGTGCGCTGAAAGCTCATACAATCGCGGAATAAAATAGAGTGTCAGAGTGCTTATCAAGCTTTTTGAAAGTTAATTGCGTCGAAAACAAGACAACAAAATGGTGTCTGGGACGAAAATCATAAGCATTCTATTGGTTCTTACACTGATGATCGCTTTCGAGTGTGCCCTGAGTGAAGCTCAGTACAATCGAGGATGGTATCCTAATAATTACGTCTTACAAAATTTGCCCGTGCCACAATACAACAACAGAATTTTTTATTCCGTCCCCGGCGAGCAACTTCCAGGTCTGAAATTGAGCTTTGAATATATGTGATAAATTACAACATTTATTTGGATTCCAGGGAGACGTCAACCAGTTACAGAAAAAGTTAACATTATAGTTCCTCTAGTGGGTCATGTCGGAGTGGAAGAATGTCCACCATGTAAAAAATATTACAATGGAAGATGTGTTAGAGTTTGCTGATTGGAATCAAACAACTTTGGCCTATTACATTTTCTACAGAACGTGAAATAATTTTTTCTTGAAAAAAAAAGAGAAAGAGAATTGTTTGTGAGAAATTTTAATCGCTTCAAATTGTTGAATAAAAATAAAATAACGTTGCAGCTCAAAAAGTTTGCTTTTTAACCCATCGAATACGTGTTCCATGTTTTCCAGGGACAAAGCACCAAATTCAAATATGAATATTTTTCGTTGATATAACACTTCGTAAATGTTGGCAAATTCAATGCATGTTTGCAAATACAAGCATTCTTAATAAAAAAAGACCTAAGAAATCGATTCCTTGTTTTAGTATTGGAACAGAAAATGATGATGCTGCATGCATACGTAAAAATGTGAGCTAGTTGTGTTCATTTGTTTGTGTTTCATTTCTGGTAATTTTTCTAAAGCTTTTTGCATCGTTTAGACCGTCATATGAAAAACTAAATCAAAGTCAATTCTTGTACCGGATGCAAATACAATACATACGTGATATGCATTCTACCATGTCGTTCCGCAGTTTAGAAAAGAAATGAAGAGAAATTGCAGTTGAAATCAAACAATATTTCTTCTGTTTGAAGACTATTGAAATTCCATTGCAATAGCCGGACAGGCACAATTTTTTGTTTCGAATGTACTTACGTGTTATTGCTTCACCGACTACTTGTCTCTTATCAGCATTATACAGGAATCATCAAGTTTGTCGTTTGATTTTATTCTTCGGTCAATGCATTCCATTTCTATGCTGTGACTCAATAAATATTCAGGAGAATTCATTTTCCTCGGATAAATATTAGTGGTTGAATTTAAAATGTCTCTAATTTAATCAATTTTAGTCAGTTGCTCAATCATCAAGCATTCTCAATTCAAATGGCAGATGAATAATACAAAAATAAATTAAATTTTGTTTTCATATTAGAACAAAACAAATGCTGATAAAACCGAACCGTTTAGTTTCAAAATATATTTATTGAATAAATTGGAATTTGAAACAGAATAATTAATTGTTCATGATTTCAATCGATATTTTTGAATTGAGCTCTGAATTTGCTCAATTGACAGCTACCAATGGAGATGAAGTGTGTGTCCTTGGCGTCGTTGAGAAATGAGAACTTAACGAAATACACCAATACAAATAGCACGCTTGCAAGTGTGTGACTTTCAGGCATCGAGGCCGTAGCTTACAGACTGTGCGTTGTTCTGATTTCGACATTGTTCAAACAACTACCGAGCTAAGCAGACATATTGGAAGATACAAGAAAAAAAAAAAATTCAGAAGAAAAAAAAGCTACGATAAACGTAAGTGCTAGACATTTTTAATTATTCGGATGTCATTTTCTGAGTGTATAACTTTGTGATTCGGTCGAAAAAGTGAAAAATCCTGAAAATCAATAGATGCACATGAAATTTGGTAAAACATAACCCAACTTTCGAGCAAATGCACATGTTGTGCGTACTTTTTCTTTGCTTGGACGCGTCAAGTCACATTTGAATAAATTATTTTTCTTATTTATCGAGTTACTGATATTTGATTTCAAGCGTGGTTTATTGATTTTTGACATTCTTTTTTCGGTTTCATTAGGAAATGAACCCATTCAAAGGTGTTTCTGGTGGGAGTTGCAAGCGCAAGACAAAGTCGGCAAAGGTCGAAGTCAAGCAAGAGCCTGGTATTAAAGAAGAACCCAATCGCGCTGACGATGTCATGGACATACCACGGCCGCGAGTTGATGGAAGATATCGAGTGAATTACGAAATACCGCTCGACTTTGACTATGACTTCGATCAGATCAAAGATGAAACCAAATGCGAGGAAGAAAAGGCAGGTAAAGACAAAGACTCTACATCATGTGAACGATCGGATGAAAGTGCCGCCAGCGATGATGAAAACGAAGAGCCTATGAGTGGCGTAATGGATGGTCAACCACACACACCAGTCGGCATCGGGAAGAAACAGAATGAAAGCTCCGAACGACGAAACAAACGAACGATTCCCAGGAATCGAGCGGCCAAAATGTCAAAGAAGCACAAATGTCATGTGTGCAATCATTTAGCACGTGACAAGTCTGAACTCATAAGACACTTGCGAACTCACACTGGAGAAAAGCCGTTTCAGTGTGATGTTTGTTCGAAGACTTTTGCACGAAAAGATGCTCTGAACGAGCATAAGAAAACGCATGGCCAATTTCGTTGCGCAAAATGTAAACAAGGATTTGAACAAGAATCAGACAAGATTGACCATGAAAGACTATGCAATCCCCAGCAATTTGAATACGATTTTTGCGGATATCACACTGTGGTGAAATCCAGTTTGACAGTTCATATGCGTACTCACAGCGGAGTAAAGCCGTTCGAGTGCTCAATTTGTTTCAAATCTTTTGCAATCAACTCTGCTCTCCGAAGTCATTCAATGACTCACATCAATGGACCGCCAAATGAATGTTCAAAATGTGGCCGACGATTTGCCACTCCGGAAGATAAGCAAACTCACGAAACGCGCTGCCAACGAAGCCTTTTCGCATGTAATCAGTGTCATTACAAAACCGTTCACAAGCATAGCTTGAAGCCGCACATGCAATCAATGCACGGAGCAAAACGATCGATAGAATGTGGAATTTGCAGCGAACCATTTGTCAAATGGATGGATTTAAATCGTCATTTGTCATCGGCACACAGCGATCAATTCCCATTCCAATGCTCCAAGTGCTTCGGAGGATACGCAACCGAAGATGCGAAAGAGGTTCATGAAGACATCTGTGGCCACCGCCGGTATCAATGCCATTTGTGCAAAGAGCCACGTCGATACAAACAAAAATTGAAGACACACATGCGAAAAGACCACACCGGAGAGCGCATTCAATGCGAAGTGTGTGCAGTCAGTTTTGTCCAGAAAGGTTATGCCGATCGACACATGAAGACAGTCCATCATTTGGTAAAGAAATAAGTCATCACTCCATGAATTTATTAGAAAGTAGTGATTATAATTTTCCTGAATAGACACATTAACTTTTATTTTATACACTTGAAAAACCTTTGCTTCCGTTATTTGAACTTGAAATTTTGCATTTTTAACTGGCACAAATTCATGGAAAGCACCTTAGAATTAACCTCTATTTTGAATGAAATAAAACTGAAATAAATTGAAACAAAGAGAGAAGAGTGTTGTCATTTCGAAATTTTTTTTGCAGAAAATTCTTTTTAGCTAACGAAAGAAACAAAAGCTCTGTTGGCAAAAGTGTTTTATCAACAAAATCCACTACGTTGCGTTCGAATTGAGTTTGTATATTTTTCTGATGATTTTACAATTTCAAAGTGTGACAAAACTTGTTCAAAATATCCAATATTGGAATGTTTGGTTTTAATTGATTCTCAAATACCTTTGGGCATCAGTTCAATTAGCTTACTTTTTCAGTATAAACGCATGATAAATTCAATCTCCAATAGCCTTGATGCAATTTTCTTCTGCTGAACTGTAGCATTTTTCAAGATTGTCAACGAATAAGTTAGTCTCTACTCAGCAAATAATTTCGAATCACATTTGATCACATAGCTCATGCATGCATATCACTCTCACATTCGATGTTCAGCTCAAACAAATGTGCGCAATAATGCAGTACTTTCAGTGCGATGTGAGAAATATAAGGAAACCCAATACAATTCCAATTGGATTTTCATAACATTTAAATGAGTTTATCACATTCGCGATCGCGAGACATGAACAATAGACAATCTAAGATACGAATTTGTTCAAATGTAAATAAATGAACAAAAACTAACGAATGAAATTGTTGCTATCTCACAACTGTGTGTTTTTGTTACAGAGAAATCTCCCGATCAGAGACACTCCCAATGTAGTGGCACACATGCATTTCTCTTATGAATAATCATAAAAAAATTAGAACCATGCGATTTCTCTGACATATTCTACTAAATTTCGTTATATCAACTTTCGATGCGCAATTCCGATACCGTACGTTGGAATCTTTGATTTGTCAACGCCAATTTTTTTCATAGTTGCTTTATTCAAACACAATGCTTGAGTGTTGAACGGAATACAAGAATCAAAATGCCTCTTTTCCTTTTCAATTCACATCGACTGCGATCTTTGAGATTGTATTCTATTTCATTGTCGAAGAATCAACAAATATTTAGTAATTCATTTATTTTCTGCAATTGGACAGTAAATATTTGCGGCATTTCTCTACTTCGATGTCTGTTGTCCATTGAACATTACACGATTATCCCAGATTTGTAATTCGAATGATCCTAAATTCATAAAAACCGAGCTCAACATTTGATTTGATAAAATATCATCAGTAACGCATGAATTTTAACCGACATTTTTGAATTGAACTCAACGAATTTGCTCAAAAGTGAGCTTCTAATTGACATGTGGCGACACTGTCAACTTAACGAAATAATGAAATGTCATCAGCACATATAGCAAACATTTGCCTCGCATTATCAATGCCATAGGATATGCTGAGGTTGCCATTTTTCAATGAGTCACAGAGTGGGGCAGACATATTGAAAGACGATACGCAGAAAAAATCAATTCCACGTTCAACGAGAAAAAAAGGCATCGACAGAACATTTAACGACGTAAGTGTTGAACATTTTTTATTATTTGTTTCGATGTTGGGCTTGGAATTTTCCATTTTGTTTCCAAAGTGGCATACGAATTAGGTTTTTCATGAAAATTGTGAAAAAACAGCATAAACCATAAGTGTGCATTTGGTGTGTAGTTATCACACACGCGTGGCAAACACGTGTTTTGTATGAAGTCGATCAATTAATTCATTTTTGATTTTCTATGTTCTACCAAACAGACAATGAACCTATTCAAAAGTATTTCTGGTGGACGCTGCAAGCGCAAGTCAAAATATGCAAAGACTGAAGTTAAGCAAGAGCTTGGTATTAAAGAAGAGGTCACCAACGACGGCGATTATGTCATTGATATACCACGGCAGCGAGTTGATGACACATATCGTGCGGATTACGAAGGACCGGTTGATTTTGCTGATGACTTCGATGAGGTTAAAGATGAAATCAAATGTGAAGAAGAAGAGACGGGCAAAGAGAAGGACACGACACCATGTGAACGATCGAATGAGAGTGCCGCCAACTATGATGACAACGAAGAGCACATGGGTGACGCAGTCGATATTCAACCACCGCAACCGGTCAGCAGCGGGAAGAAACGGAATGGAAGCTCCAAAAGACGGAACAAACGAACGATTCCCAGGAATGAAGCGGCCAAAAAGCAAAAGAAGCACAAATGCCATGTGTGCAATCTTTTGGCACGTTGCAAGGCTGAACTCATAAGACATTTGCGATCTCACACTGGAGAAAAGCCGTTTCAGTGTGATGTTTGCTTGAAGTCCTTTGCACAAACAAGTAATCTGAACAAGCATAAGAAAACGCATGGCTCGAAGCATCAGTTTCGTTGTTCAAAATGTTATCAACGATTTGAGCACGAATCCGATCAGATCAATCATGAAAAGTTATGCGATCCTCTTCGATTCGAATGCGATATATGCGGATACAGAACAATTCAAAAGCCACATTTGACAGTTCATATGCGGATTCACAGCGAAGCAAAGCCGTTCGAGTGCTCGATTTGTTTCAAGTCGTTCTCAACCAACACAAATCTCCGAAGTCATTCGATGACCCACAAAGTTGAACTGCCGAATGCCTGTTCGAAATGTGGTCGACGATTCGCCAAACCAGAAGATAAGCAAACACACGAAACGCGCTGCCAACGAAGTCTTTTCGCCTGTAATCAGTGCAATTACAAAACTGTTCACAAGCATAGCTTGAAGCGGCACATGCAATCAATGCACGGAGCTAAACGGTCGATCAAATGTGAAAATTGCAGCAAACAGTTTGTCCAACAGATCAAACTAAATCAACATCTATCATCAACACACAGCGACCCGTTCCCACTCAAATGCTCCAAATGCTTCGGAGGATACGCGACCGAAGATGTAAAAGAGGTTCATGAAGATAGCTGTCGCCACCGTCGGTATCAATGCCATTTGTGCAAAGAGCATCGTCGTTCCAAACATCATTTGAAGGCCCACATGCGAAAAGATCACACCGGAGAGCGGCTTCAATGCAAAGTGTGTGCAGCAAGCTTCACCAATGAAAGTAATGCTAACCAACACATGAAAACAGTTCACCGTTCGAAGAAGTGGTACATCATGCCTCGCATATATACATAAGTTTTCAGATTTAAAAACAAATAGTTGGGCTGGAAATTGATTACACTTTCATACACTTGAAGCATTTTGAATCCAATTTAATTTTTGAAATCATTTCGAAGTAACATTCAATATTTTTCAAAACATTTCATGGATACCATCTTAGATTTAAATAAATTGAAACAAAAAGAGAAGAGATGGCTTTTATTTTCGTGTTTATTTTTGCAGTAATTTTCTTGATCAAAGATTGAAATAGATGGTGCTTGGAAAATGTGTTGATACGAAATCAACTCTGCACTTTAATTGAGTTTGTCAATTTTTACGATAATGTTTCGGATTCAAATCGGATTTCTTTTGTATTGTATCCTAATACTTGATTTGAATTGATTTCAGATCAACTGACCATTTGCTTCATTTTTTGCCGAGTGTTGAGAAAATATCATAATTTTCTTGGGACTTCCGATTACAAAAGAATTAAAAGATGATTGAATTCTCTCTCATGGACACTGACTGGTTCTATGCAATTTCATTTATTGAATTTGCCCAATTTTCCAGCATAAATGCATGATGAATTCGATCTCATCAGCCTTAATTGAACCACTGAGAATGAATCACAGACTCATTCAAAATGTTCACCACTACAGTATTTGAATACGTTGTACACTTCGGGCACTTCGAAATGTGACCCGTACGCAAATATGACCCTTTGTACTGTCGCACTATGACTTTGTTCAGCCTCGAATACAACAGCAATATGACTCTCTTTTGCGCGCGACAAATTCTAGTTCCTTTTTTCAGCAAAATTATTCAAATTCTCTTTTTGTAAATATTGCAATTAAGTCTGGTATTCATTCTCATGGGTTCAATTCGACTGCATTTTGTTCAACTGACACATATGTTTGCGAACTCAGTTGTATTCTGCACATAATCTATACTCATATGTACCATGACTCACACATCTAACTTTTGTGCAGAAAGACAGAGTAAATCCAAGTGGTTCAATTCGATCAGATCTTCAAAATTTTATTAATCAACAAAATGAAATTATTTCGATTAAATTTAATGCATTTGTTGAGCCAGAATCTAAAGTAGCACTTGTTGTGTTCGCGATCCATGTATGATTCTGCGATACAAAGCTTACATTTCAACAAAAGCACACCGAATGAGTTTGTTATTGTTTGACCAATAAACATCTCTCTATTATGCGAAATGTAGGCACCAAAATGTCCGTCGTTTCAATCGACTTTGCTGTCAATTTCCAGCCATCCATTCGGTTTCTTTGCTTCGACTCAATGAATACTTTGTAACAATGAATACTTTCTTCTTCGGACAAGTGACGATATCATTTATCGGTAGAATCGAAATTTTCATAGCTTCAATGTCATTTTCTCAATTAACACTGATTTCTGATTCGAATAGCAGAATGATCATATTTCCAAAGAACAAAACGTTTCGTTTCAAAACATTTATTTCAACAAATTGGAAATTGTAGAAACAAATTTTGCATGAATTTAACCGACATTTTTGAAATGAGCGATGAATTTGCGCAATTGACAGCTACGAATCGGGATGAAGTGTCACTTTGAGTCGTTGAGAACTCAACGAAACACACCAATACAAATAGGACATTTGCAAGTGTGTGACTTTTAGCAATGATGTCGTGGCTTACACACTGTACGTTGTTCTAGATTGTTCTTTCAGCCACCGATTGAGGCAGACATCCTGAAAGTTACGTGGAAAAAAGAATTTTCAGCAGAAAAAAGGCGACGACAACCGTAAGTGTTGGACATTTTTCATTTATTCAAATGCCATTCTTTGAGTAAATAATTTTGTAATTCAGTCGTAAAATTGATAAATTCAGCGGATTTTTATAAAAATTGACAGCCAATAATCTTAAACAATGGCTTAGGTGAACTTTTGGTACGCATTTTATCGTCTTTGCTGTAGACGCGACAAAACGTGTTTTGGAAGGAGTTGATTGATTTGTTAAATTTTGATTTTCAATGTTTTTTTTTAATTCAATAGAACATGAACCCATTCAAGAGTGTTTCTCGTGGACGCTGCAAGCGCAAGTCGAAATCCGCAAAGGTTGAAATCAAGCAAGAGCCTGGTTTTAAGGAAGAGCCCAACGACGGTGACGCTGTCATGAACATACCACGGCCGAGAGTTGGTGGAAGATATCGTGTGAATTATGATGGGCCGTTCGATTTTGACTATGACTTCGATGAGGTAAAGGATGAAATAAAATGTGAGGGAGAAGAGACGGGCACAGAAAAGGACTCGGCACCTCGTGAACGATCGAATGACAGCGCTGCCGCAAACAATGATGACAACGAAGAGCACATGGATGACGCAGTCGATATTCAGCCACCGCAACCAGTCAGCAGCGGGACGAAACGGAATAGAAGCTCCAAAAGACGAAACAAACGAACGATTCCCAGGAACCAAGCGGCCAAAAAGCAAAAGAAGCACAAATGTCATGTGTGCAATTATTTGGCAAATAGAAAGTTTGACCTCAAAGTACACTTGCGAATTCACACTGGAAAAAAGCCGTTTCAGTGTGATGTTTGTTCAAAGTCCTTTGCACGAAAAGGTGATCTGAACACTCATAAAGAAACGCATGGCCCGAAACCTCAGTTTCGTTGTTCGAAATGTTATCAACGATTTGAGCATGAATCCGATCAGATCAATCATGAAAAGTTATGCGATCCTCTTCGATTCGAATGCGATATTTGCGGATATAGAACGATCAACAAATCACATTTGACAGTTCATATGCAGACTCACAGCGGAGTAAAGCCGTTCGAGTGCTCAATTTGTTTCAAGTCGTTTACAACCAACGCTCGTCTCCAAAGTCATTCAATGACCCACATCGATGAACTGCCGAATGCTTGTTCCAAATGTGGTCGACGATTTGCCACTCCTGAACATAAGCAATCACACGAAACTCGCTGCCAACGAAGTGTTTTGGCATGTAATCAGTGTCAGTACAAAGCTGTGCGTAAGGATTCATTGAAGCGGCACATGCAATCAAAACACGGAGCCAAAAGATCGATCGAATGTGAAATTTGTGGAAAACCATTCGTTGAACAGATTAAATTAAATCAACATTTGTCATCAACACATCGCGATCAATTCCCATTCCAATGCTCCAAATGCTTCGGAGGATACGCAAGCGAAGACGGAAAAATTGCCCATGAAGATAGCTGTGGCTACCGTCAGTATCAATGCCATTTGTGCAAAGATCATCGTCGAGACAAAGCATCTTTGATGTATCACATGCGAAAAGATCACACCGGAGAGCGGATTCAATGCAAGGTGTGTGCAGCAAGCTTTACCAGTAAAAGTAATGCCGATCAACACATGAAAGCAGTTCACCGTTTGAAGAAGATATAAGTCACGCACTCCATGGATTTATTAGAAAGTACTACTTTCAAAGTAGTAACAATAGTATACTTTTTCTGAATAGACAAACTAACATTTATTTTATACACTTGAAAAACCTTTGTTTTAGTCATTTGAACTTGAAATTTTGCATTTTTAACTGACATAAATTCATGGATAGCACCTTAGATTTAACCTCCATTTTGAATGAAATAAAACTGAAATAAATTGGAACAAAAAGAGAAGAGTGTTTTGTGTTTATTTTGGAAATAGCTTTTGCAGAAAATTCTTCTTAGGTAACGAAAGAAACAAAAGCTCTGTTGTCAGAATTATTTTATCAACAAAATCCACTACGTTGCGTTCTAATCGAGTTTGTATATTTTATTGGTGATTTTACAATTTCAAAGTGTGATATTGTTCAAAGTATCCAATATTGGAATATTCGGTTTAAATTGATTTCCAAACACAATTTTTGCATCATTTCAATTGGCTTACTTTTTCAGTATAAACGCATGATAAATTCAATCTCAGTAGCCTTGATGCAATTTTCTTCTGCTAAACTGTAGCATTTTTCAGGATTGTCAACGAAGAAGTTAGTCGCTACTCTGCAAATAATTTCGAATCACATTTGATCACATAACTCATACATGCATATCACTCTCACATTCGATGTTCATCGCAATCAAATGTACCCAATAATGCAGTACTTTCAGTGCGATGTGAGAAATACAAGAAAACCCAATATGATTCCAATTAGATTTTTATAACATTTAAATGAATTTATCACATTCGCTATCGCGAGACATGAACAATAGATGATCTTAGATACGAATTTGTTCAAATGTAAATAAACGAACGTATGAAATTGTTGCTATCTCACAACTGTGTGTTTTTGTTAGATAGAAATCTCCCGATCAGAGACACTGCCAATGAGTGGCACACAGGAATTTCCTCTATAAATAATCATAAACAATTTAGAACCATGCGATCCCTCTGACATATTTTACTGAATTTCTTTACATCAACTTTTGATGTGTAATTCCGGTACCGTACGTTGAAATCTTTGATTTTTCAACGCCAACTTTTTTAATAGTTGGTTTAAAACACAATGTTTGAGTGTTCAACGGAATACAAGAACCAAAATGCCTCTTTTCCTTTTCAATTCACATCGACTGCGATCTTTGAGATTGTATTCTATTTCATTGTCGAAGAATCAACAAATATTTAGTAATTCATTTATTTTCTGCAATTGGACAGTAAATATTTGCGGCATTTCTCTACTCGGATGTCTGTTGTCCATTGAACATTACACGATTATCCCAGATTTGTAATTCGAATGATCCTAAATTCATGGAAGTCGTGCTCAACATTTGATTTGGTAAAATATCAGTAACGCATGAATTTAACCGACATTTTTCAATTGAACTCAACGAATTTGCTCAAAAGACAGCTACTAGTTGACATTGGGCGACTCTGTCAACTTAATCAAATGTCATCAGCACATATAGCAAACATTTGCATCGCAGTATCAATGCCGTAGGATAAGCTGAGCTTGACATTTTTCAATGAGTCACAGAGTGGGGCAGACATATTGAAAGACGATACGCAGAAAAAATCAATTCCACGTTCAGCGAGAAAAAAGGCATCGACAGAACATTTCACGACGTAAGTGTTAAACATTTTTTCTTATTTATTTCGATGTTGGGCTTGGAATTTTTGATTTTGTTTCGGAAGTGGCATCTGAATTGGGCTTTTCATGAAAATTGTGAAAAAACAGCATAAAACAGAAGTGTGCATTTAGTGTGTAGTTTTTCTTAGTCACACACGCGGCAAACACGTGTTTTGTATGAAGTCGATCAATTTATCCATGTTTAATTTTTGTTTTACCAAACAGAGAATGAACCTATTCAAAAGTATTTCTGGTGGACGCTGCAAGCGCAAGTCGAAATATGCAAAGACTGAAGTTAAGCAAGAGCCTGGTATTAAAGAAGAGCCCACCAACGACGGCGATGAAAGTGTCATGAACATACCACGGCCGAGCGTTGATGGAAGATATCATGCGAATTACGATAGACCGTTCGATTTTGACTATGACTTCGATGTGTTAAAGGATGAAATCAAAGAAGAAGAAGAAGAAAAGACGGTCAAGGAAAAGAACGAGAGGGCACATCGTAAAAAATCGAATGAGAGCCATGCTGTCAATAATGATGACAACGAAGAGCCCATGAGTAACGCAATCGATGATCAACCACCGAAACCAGTCGACAGCGAGAGAAAACGGAGTGGAAGCTCCAGAAGGCAAAACAAACGAACGGTTCCCAGGAATCAAGCGACCAAAAAGCAAAAGAAGCACAAATGCCATGTATGCAATCATTTGGCACGTGACAAATCTAACCTCAAAGTACACTTGCGAACTCACACTGGAGAGAAGCCATTTCAGTGTGATGTTTGTTTGAAGTCCTTTGCACAGAAAGGTACTTTGTATCGTCATAAGCAAACACATGACCCAAAGCCTCAGTTTCGTTGTTCAAAATGTTATAAAAGATTTGAACGCGAATCGGACAAGATCGATCATGAAAGACTATGCAGTCCCCAGCAATTCGAATGCGATATTTGCGGATATCACACTGTGGCGAGATCCAGTTTGACATTGCATATGCGGACACACATCGGAGATCGGCCGTTCGTGTGCTCAATCTGTTTCAAGTCTTTCACAACTAACACTCATCTCCGAATTCATTCAATGGCTCACAAGGATGAACTGCCGAATGCTTGTTCCAAATGTGGTCGACGATTTGCCGCTCCAGAAGATAAGCAAAAACACGAAACGTGCTGCCAACGAAGTCGTTTTGCATGCAATCAATGTCATTACAAAACTATCCACAAGAATACATTGAAGCGGCACATGCAATCAAAACATGGAGCAAAACGATCGATCGAATGTGAATTTTGCAGCAAACAATTTGTTCAACAGATTTATTTAAATCGTCATTTGTCATCAACACACAGCAACCGGTTCCCATTCCACTGCTCCAAATGCTTCGGAGGATACACAACCGAGGATACAAAAGAAATTCATGAAGATAGCTGTCGCCACCGCCAGTATCAATGCCATTTGTGCAAAGAACATCGTCAACACAAGCAACATTTGAAGATTCACATGCGAAAAGATCACACCGGAGAGCGATTTCAATGCAAGGTGTGTGCAGCTAGCTTTATCCAGAAAGGTCATGCCGATCACCACATGAAAGCAGTTCATGGCTTGAAGAAGAAATAAATCATGCATTCCATAGATTTTCTAAGTCGCAGTCAAGCTTAAAACCAATATTTTATTATTCTTGCATATAAACAGCTTGAATATACGTAAAAATAACTCTCACACGAAAGGCCTTGAATCTTAGTTTTCCAACATAGAAATTCATAACTATCGCTTTAGATTTGCTCCCATTTTGAACGAACCCAACCATTGAAACGGAATAAAAAGAAAAAGAGACAAAAGAATGTTGCATTTTATTTCTGACTCTACTTTTGGAACGATTTTCTTGGACAGCGAAAGTAACGAATGTTTTTCGAAAATGTGTCCTCTTGGCGAAAGCCACTCTGCATTGTAATCAAGTTTGTAAGTGTTAATTACAAAGTTTCAGCTTTAAAGCATATCATTCATGGCTCACATTGTTTAGATGTTCGATCTGAGTTGATTTCTTTTTAATTGTCCATTTGCGCCATTCTTTGCCGACACTTTAAGAAACATCATCCAGCTATTTTGCATCGATTGGACAATAACAACAGATAGATGAATGAATGACTTAAAGTGATTCTGTGCAATTTCAGTTGTTCATACGAGCTAAAATGAATTCAATCCACATACTTTTCCCTCATAAAAGCATAATCAATTCAATATCGTCAGCCTCAATTCGATTTTATTTTGCGAAACCGTGGCATTTTTCAGAAATATCAGTAAACTAAGTGGTTAACTGACTGTGATTAATAATGTGATGTACCATGAATCGATTAAAATTAATTCTAAATCATTTAATTATTTGTTGGGCCAGAGTTTAAACTAGCATTTGTTGCATTCGCGAGACATGCATAGTTCTGCTATACTAATTTGTTTAGGATTTTCATTTCAACATAAACACAACGAATGAGTCGGTTATTATTTGACAATTAAATGTTTCTATCATTCAGAATGCAGACACCAAACTGTTCGTCTTTTCCAAGCTGTTAATGTTCGGCCATTCGTTCTGTTTCGTTGTAACAATTCAACAAATATTTTGTGAAACTCATTTACTTTGGACAAATGGCAATGGATGTTAGCCGGAGAATTCAAAATTCCACAACTTCCATGCGATTTTCTCAACTATCACAGATTCTTAATTCGAACCCGGACGATCATTATTTTCATAGAACAAAACCTTTATTTAGTCAGGATATTTATTTCAACAAATTAGAATTTGTAGAACAGAAAAATTTCGCATGCATTTAACCGATATTTTTGAAATGAGCTCTTAACCCTCTGATGCATTAATTTTTCCTAGGCCTGGGAGTACTGGTACTTGGTTGATTTTTGGCCATAGATAATTAAAAAAATATTCATAATCCTGGATTCCTCATAGTTTAGTCAGGAAATGCGATTGACATAAATCATAGAACAATCAAATCCATTGTTTAAAAGTGTCAAAAATGTGTCTAATTTGGAGTTCGAATAATTTATTTTGACAAATTTTTGTTATTGCACACATTTTTGTTTATAACTTTACAATCATACTACATAGACAAATATTGCCAAGACAAAAATAAAGAGAGAACATTGACGAATAAAAATTCTATTTGAAGCAATGTGATCCGATGTAAGGTTTACGTTCTACAGGCGTTCAAATGTTGCCCGTCTAGAGACGGTTGTATGCATTAGAGGGTAAATTTACTCAATTGACAGCTACTAATCGAGTCAAGTGTATATACACGACGTAGTTGAGAACTTAACGAAACACACCAATGGAACGCTTGCGAGTGTGTGAACTGTTGTCATCGATGCTGTAGCTTACAGACTGTACGTTGTTCCTGAGTTTGTCAATGCCTAG